GGCTCCTTCAGTTTGTGACTGGCTGATTCACACTGCCTAAAGTCATTTCCCTGTGGCACTTCTTTACTGAATAAATGGGAAGTGATGGTGGCATCTGTTCCTGACACCCAGATCCCAGTGACAGCTCATAAATTGGCATTTCTTGTCTGTCTGGCGGAGAGGTCACAGAGAATGTCACTGCAGGGAAATACTAAGAATGCTGACTGCTGGCATTAGGACTTCTGGAACTCAGGCCTGAGCTGTGTCTGTGCCCTGAGCCGGTGGGGTGACTCTCACAGGAACCGCGGGCAGGCTTGCAGGTGCAGGAAACCTGGCCCTCTAGAGGGGGTGAACCGTGCACACGAAGTACCTAAAGACAGTAATTTCTCACACCATTGGGGTTTCCTTCTGGATAACCTATGGTAATTAATGATGTCCTAAAATTCTAAATGGAGTTAGAAGATTCAGCATAACTTAGGGCTTCCTTGAAAGAGCCAGAAATCTTCTTTCATTGCTCTCAGTGGAGAATAGTTTAAAAAAAAAAATCCATTTATTCCAAGAAGCATTTCTCAAGTACGTTCTATATGCTATTTCCTGTGCTCAGACTGTAGCTTGTTGTAGTACTGACTGGATATTGTACTGTGGCCTATATAGTACATTATATACAATAGAATCCTAGGAACTTAGTGAATCTAGCAGGAAGAAATCTTCAAATATAACTCCATTTTTACACTACTTGGAAGGACAGTCTCACCAATCTTTTTAATTTAGTTGTTTGGTTGCAAGAGGACATTATGAATCTTACAAGTAGGCTCTGTCAGGTTTGTCAGGTGTTCTGTTACGTTTTGGTGTTTTTCATCTACCCATCTTCTGAGATAGCAAGTGTTTTCACAATTAAGCTGGATTTGAAATGTCCACTCAGTAGTCAGTGACTGCACAAAATGACTTGTAAATAAATTCAGGGTGAAAGTCTGAACGATAGGTATAAATGAGTCTGCAGCTGTAATAATTGTATCTCTGCTTTGATCAGACTTTGAATCATGAGTAATTAAGCCGAGGCAAGGAATCCATCCACCATGTAAAAATTTGGAAGTGACCGTAGGCAAAGATACAAGGTCCTTCATCTAAATTTCAAGTTATCTAAGCTTGCCTCCAACACCAAATCTTACTAAAACAAGTGAGTCATGAAGTCATGAACTAATATGTCCATAAAATGATTCCAAAAGGATAGAAGTAAAGGTCTTAAGAGTTCAACACTGAACAATGTACAGGGCCTAGTTTTTATTATCTTGAATTTATTGTAGTGTTCAGAGAAAGTTTTTTCCTCTTCATTTTGCTGAGTGCAACCCAAGTAAGATCTTTTTCCTTAATATATGTATTAGCCAGATCTGATTCTGATAATTTGTTTCAAAATACAGTTCTACTGAGGTAAAAAGACTAGGAGAAAATTGGTAACATCATTTTCTTGGTCTGACAAATCAATAGCAGCCTGAGAAAATTAAATCAGCCCTACAAGGCAGAAGGCACAATGTTAACTGAAATGACATCATCATGAGAATATTTTATGACCTCAAAGAAGTCATCAATTCCTTTATTCTTAAGCCCTGTGCTGGCAGTTTAAATCAGTTACCATTTTATATATATAATATTTTTTAATAAAGATGCAGTGAGTTCTCTAAACAGGCTCTCAATAAAACCAGAAAATAGCATTCTTTCTATTTTTCTGTGTATACAAAAGGTGTCAGATGGACTTCTTTTTTTTTTTCTTTTTTTTTTTTTTAAAGATTTTATTTATTTAACAGAGAGAGAGAGAGTGAGAGAGAGATCACAAGTAGGCAGAGAGGCAGGCAGAGAGGGAGAGGAGGGAAGCAGAGAGCGCGATCCGGGGCTCGATCCCAGGACCCTGAGATCATGACCTGAGCCAAAGGCAGAGGCTTAACCCACTGAGCCACCCAGGCACCCTTGTCAGATGGACTTCTAACATAATTCGATATATTAGCCCCTTTTGGTAAACCCAATCTATAGTTATTTCTTTGTATTCTGTTATCAATCTTACGTTTTGTGGGTATTTGTTAAAATTAAGTCCCATTTATAACAAAAATAAAAAATGACACTAGCATAAACATACTTTATCTCTCATAAAAGAAATACAGAGGCAGAAAGTCTGGAAGTGGAATAGTGTAATTCCTTATCATCTGTGACACAATGACCATTATGCTCCCCTATCTGTATTCTTTTTATTCTCAAGTTTGCTTCATTGTCCAAGATGACTATTGAAGCTCCAGCCCTTATATCCAGGTTCCAGGTAAGCAAAGGGAGGAGATGGGAAAGAGCAAAATCACAGGGGTGCTAGCCAAGTCAGCTCCCCGATAAGCAGCTATCAGAGGAGTCCCACATAATCTTGTGCTCCAATTACATTGGGCTTAACATTTTCAGTGGGCCACGTCTACCTACAAGGGAGACTGAGAAATAGTTTTTCTATAGGAAAAGTGACTAGTGGAAAGCTGGCTTACTCTTTTTTTTTTTAAGACTTTATTTATTTATTTGACAGAGAGAGATCACAAGTAGGTAGAGAGATAAGCAGAGAAAGAAGTGGAAGCAGGCTCCCCGCTGAGCAGAGAGCCCAATGCAGGGCTCCATCCCAGGACCCTGAGACCATGACCTGAGCCAAAGGCAGAGGCTTAACCCACTGAGCCACCCAGGTGTCCCCTGGCTTACTCTTAATAAGAAAAAAACTAAATGGATGTTTGGGAGGCAGTCCAGCCGTGTCTGCCACGGCAGCTCAATCATAGAGCCAAAAATGTATAATATCAGGTCCTCTTGTGATCACTTATGCAGAAAAATCCCCATAGGGTTGGTACATTCCTCCTCATAGCTTATTTAATTGATAGTTATGTATCTCATTAATACAAAGCCCTTTTCAAGATGAGGTTTTGTGTAGATAAGTCCATTTTCAGTGCAGACAAAATTGTGATCTCCCAAGCCAATTTTCTTTATCAGACTGGCATCATGGATCTTTGTTTCTACAGAACCATAGAAATACACATAAATCTTCCTAAACCTGAGTATATTAACAAAGCAAAAACAGACTCCTCCCACAAAAAGGTCAAGAACAGTATCAAATCTGACCATTTGGAAAGATGTATTTCAGTAGATAACTGAAAGCATCTTTCCTTTTACATCACTTCACAGAGTGTGAATTACTTATAAAAACTGATAAAAAGCACTTTTTACAAGTAATCTTACAGCTGCCTTTTTTAATGTTTGTCATTATGAATTTTTTGTACTCTATATAATTGATAAACAGAAATTGACCAATTTACTCGGTTTTTCTGGAAACAGAGCACTTGTCTGAACAAGAATATATGCTAGCTTCCATAAAATGAGGGGGGAAAATGGCTGTTTCATTGAGGAAACCTTAAAAATCTTCTTGTCAATGTTATTTTATTAGCTATTGGGATAGGACAAGCCAACTCCATTACAAAGCACCTCATCTTACCACTGAGATAGTTTTTTGAATGACAAAATAAGCCTCTGGATTCCTCCTGTCCACTCCTCAGCCCCTCTACTGTGTTGTTGAAAACAAACAGATCAAGGAAGGCATCCCTTGCTATGTTGTGGAAGGCTTTGTCTTAGGGAAGATACTAATTCTCTAGATAGTGTGTCTAAGCCCCGACTGGCCCACAGTAATACTATAAATTAGGTAAAGTTCATTTTTAATGTTTTGATTATCCTCTTTTCTCCCCTGCTCTGTTTAAGAAGCATTGACTGAGCAACTATAAGACACTAGGGACCACTTCGGGAGCTATAGAAACACGAACTATGCCCTCAGTAAGTTCACCACCTGTACTTCCTGTACCTTTGATCAGGGATATGGCGGCCACCACTTGCTGCCTCTGATGTCTCATGGACCCAAGGGGCGCTCACACCTGGATCTGGCCTTGTGGACATTGCCCTATTTGCTGACCTGCTCCTTGCCTTCCCACCCAGACTGCCAGATAGTTCTTGCATTTGAATTTGGATCTTTCAATTCTTAACCTTAACTGGAAGATACTGGTAGCAGTTTCAGACCATATGTTAAAAGAGTGGGGTACAGAGTTGTGAGATATATTTTTTTTAATAACCAAGGACTTCGTAATATATGCACATTTGGCAAAAGCTAGGGCTGAAATGTACCTGATCTTACTTCCTATGTTTGTAACAACTGAAAGATACTGCTATTTTAGGTAATGTTTTAGTATCTCTCAATTAATTCATTTAGTAGAAATTTTACTAAAGTGATTATCCTCTTGGTAGAAGACTCTCTGTAAGTAATTGTTGGGGGGAGCAATTTATATATAAAACACTGAGATCGTATAAGCAATTAGATATCTCGGTAAGTCCAACACCCCCCCCCCCAAAATTGCTACATGAATGTGTGAAGTTTTGTCAATTTATTCATGCATATGTGAATACAACAAATATTTATGGAATGTGGACTGACTCTACTCTAAATAGTTAACAAAATAAATGTAGTTTTTGTCCTCATAAAATTTATGGTGTAGTGAGAGTAATAATTATAAATTAAACAAAACAAACAAGATTATTTCATGCTCAGAAAAAATAGGAAGTATGGACAGGGTGATGTGAAAAATAACAGGATGTCCTGGCTAATGGGGTCAGGAAAGTCTCTATAAAGTTTATACTTAAGGTGACACTAAAGTTTACAAAGGAGCCATGTCAGAGGATCCCACAGTTTGACACCTCAGACAACGTTATCCAGAAAGGTTTGGCCTTTATAAAGCTGACTAGGACTCTATTGAGGTATCAGGCATCTGAATTTTCATCATGCCTGATGTCAGCCGGAAGTTCTCATTTCTACCCAGAGATGATGTTTCTTAAAAAGACTTTTTCTTCAGGCCTAACAAAGCCTAAGGCATTGTTTTGGGCATTTACTTGTGCATACGATGAAATGCAGCTGGTTGCCCAGTTGGGTGTGTTTGCTAACCGTGCATCTCTCTCTCTTCCTCTTGTGTCACCAGGCCTCCGGAACCTGTTTACAGCACTGTGAACAAACTGTGTGATAAGCCTGCTTCTCCCAGGCACTATTCCCCTGTTGAGTGTGACAAAAGCTTTCTTCTCTCAGCTCCCTACCCCCACTACCACCTAGGCCTGCTCCCTGACTCTGAGATGACCAGGTACTGCATGCGCTTCCTCACTTCATCTTCTCGAATTGCATGTGCTTCCACAAGGATGAATGGGTAGAACCCACCTCTGCTCATGTCTCTGGAGCTTGACATCTTCCTCAGTGGAGAGATGTTCTGCTTCTTTGGTGCGATGGGAGGAATTAAGAACATTGCCTTTTTTTTTTTTCTTTTTAGTGTGATCACAGAGCACTCGGACATGATCACATGATTTTCCAAATGTTCTTGGTTCCCATGCATTTTTAATAAGGTATTAATTATATTTTTCCAGAAGAATTAATTTTGGAATTTAATTAGCATTATTTCCCTCGTACAGAAGGATAAAAGAGCATGTACTTAGTACCTTTTTGAATAATATTTAATAATCACTTACTATTCTTCAGGCATAACATAGCCTAAGAAGTAGGTACTATTATTCCCATTTAATATTTTAATGAAAATATTAAATTAGTACCACTACTTAGTTGACTCCCTAAGGTATTAAACAACTTACCCAAAACTAGAGAATTAGCTGGTTCTATCAACCACAAGAATTTTAACCTTTATAGTATGCCATCATGGTAGGTTTTTACCATGTTCTCTTTATTTAGTTACTCCCATTTTATATAAGAAAACAAGGGCTCAAAGAAGTTAAGGCATTGCCTTCGGTACGGTATTGCCAATAAATGCCAAGTTCAGATTTGACTTGGAACTCTCCACAACTTTCCACAACTCTCTAAACAAATCATTCTAAGGCTAAAGGTTGAATATGATTCTGTACTAGTATTCTAAAGTATATGTATGTTAAATAATACAATCTCATCTTTATGCAATAGCAAAAGTCACAGAGAGAGGAGAGTAATAAAAGGACAATCTAGTGTTCCATAAGGTAGTTCCAGTTTTTTTTTAATCAGGAGATCTCAATCATGATGTTCTACATATAATGAATGAGGTACTTGTCTGGTTATGTTTTCAGATAGAATACCTTCATATGTTTTCATAATACTGTTACGATCAAGAAAATACAGATTTAAAAATGATTCAACATGAAAATGGATGTATCAAGAGGGTCTCCTTAGAACATCATCTCTGTTTTTCTTTTCTATTTTCAAAGAAAAAGTTAAAAGTCAAGTATTGGCCTTTCTAGAGGAGTTAAATAACAAATTTTAATTATACATAACATTTCTAGAAATACATGAGAAAACATATTTTTGGCCATGTAATCAGCTGGGGCATTTTCACTAATTGCAACAATTAAAGCCTAATAGCATTATAGAATGCTTCATAAATATTAATTAAATTTTCTTTTATTTTGAACAAATCTTAAAAACCTGTTCTTGATACAGCAGATTATTCCATTTTGAAGCTAAGAAGGCAAAGTTACCATAGTCATAGGGAAGCAGAAGGGGCACACACACCTACAATAATGACTTCCTCGTATTCAGACATCTATAATTAGCTATGCACAGTCAGCTAGCACTTACTCAGCTCTCCTCTGTGCCAGGCATTTTGTTAAGTAGTGCTTATGAATTATATTTTCTAACCCTAACAGTTGCCTTATGAAGTAGATGTTATCAATATCCTCCTTTTACAAGTAAGGAAATAGAGGGCTTGAAGTTACCTGACATGCCCCAGATCATCTCCTAAGAAGTGGCAGGGCTGGGATTCAAACCCAGGGGACCTTTAGCACCTGCATCAGCCTAGGCATGATGGCAGAGACGTCTTTGCTTGCTGGAAAAATTCTCCACCCATTCACTTTTTCTCTCCTTTCTCTATTTTTATCCTACCTTCTCATCTCCCTTCTGGCTCAGTATCAATAACCCATGTTCTTTTTTTGATGAACCTGAAGTCACATTCCTTGCATCCAACTGGAGAGTTTGATGCATCACTCTCTTAAAAGTCACCGATAAGCAGGTGGTAGACTCTACCTCTTGTGTGGATCTACCAGATACAATTCTTCTGCAGTTTACTTTCTGTAATTTGTATTATGAAGACCATGGAGTTTCTTTTTTGTTTTTGTTGTTGTTTTTCCCAAATTAAAAAAATATATATATACATATATACATATATATATATATATGTGGTATAATGTTGAATATGTCTGTTTCAAATTATATACCTTCAGCAATCCTGATATGCCCAGTCTCCAACCCTAACTCTCCATCACCCCATTGGGAATTCAGTTTTCTAGTCTAATTCTGTCCCCTTTTTTTCCCTTTCTCTTTTTTCCCTATTTTATCCCCCATTTCAAAAAAAGTGACATATACCCATATAAATACACATATATATATACCCATTTTGGTGACATTATCACCAATACACTGATACTGAAATTCTTGATTTCACCCCATTTTTCTCCCCTTCCCTACTTTCCCAACTCATTAAATGACAATTCATATACTTCATTGCTGAAGCCAAAACTTGAGGATCATGCCCAACACCTGTTCTCCCTCACACCCGTCCTTCAGTCTGTCTTCAAGTCTTATAGATTCTACTTCCAGAATGTGTCTCCAACCTATTCATTCCCCTCTACTTCTCTTTCTAGCACTTGAACCCAAGCCTCCATTATCTCCCACCTACACTAGCCTCCTAATTGGTCTCACCACTTCCATTGCTGTCCTCCTGATTTCTTCTCACTGCAAACAAGGCGATCTGTTAAAAATATAGATCACTTCTCTTTCTCTTCTTTTGTATTAGTATAAAATGCAAAGTCACTAATATAGCATCCAAGCTATGCATGACCCAGCCCCTGCCTGCCCCTTAAACACCTCATTTCACTCCTCCTGTTGCTGATCACACTATCCACATTCACAAAATGCACTAAATCTCGACCTATTTCAAACGCTTCACACATGTTCTTTCCCCAAACTGAAAAGCTCTTACTACACTTTGCCTGGTTCACTTCTGGTCATCTTAGATGGAAGCTTAAGTTGCACTTCCTCAGAGAAGCTCCCTGAAATAAAATCTGTTCCCCTATTATATCATCTCTCTCTCTCTCTCTCTCTCTCTCGCTCTCGCTCTCGCTCTCTCTTTTTTCCCATAAGATTCAAGCAATTTATAATTATATATTTATTTATATGATTTTTAAAACTAAACTCCTGTCTCACACTGGATGCTGTAAGCTCACCAGGTAGCATTGTGCCTGGTCTGTGCACTGCTAAACCCCTGACACTTAGCATAGTGTCTGGCACAACAGCAGCTCCAAATTCTTGAGTGACGAAATCAACATGGAAGTAAGATCTGCAGACAAGCAGACAGATCCATGTTCAGGAACACGTGATGGCTAAAGCTGTGCTTTATTCAGGTCTTACGGGTACATAAAACAACCCCAGGAGTGAATGAATCTATGCATTGAAACCAAGAGCGGCAGACTAGAGCTCACTTTGTGTGCTGTAATTTTACCTTGAATTATCTCAGTGGTCAGTACGTTATCATTGCATTAGGTAACTGTCCATTCTTCATGAAAACGGAGTAAATCCTTTCAGAGATTATTTACTTCCCGCAAAATACCACTCTGATCAGATGTTTCTTGAAATGCCACTGATAGATAATTCAAGGGAAAAGTTCAAGGGTTCTTAGTTCCGTTTATGACACCATCACTTGCTTTATCCACTGTGACCTTAAATAATCTGTAGAACCTCAGAGGTATCTGAAAACATAGAATTAGATGGACAAACCCTTATTCAACTCTATAACGAGGAGGAACTCAAGCCACTGTCTTCATGAGTGTAATGCTTATTTCTCCTTACAATAAAATAAAAGTATTGGGGGTCTTCTGCCCTCAAAAGTATATTACTGGAATATATCTTTCATTTCATCCAACCAAGATTTATCAAGCACTAACAAAGTGCAAGTTACCGTACTAGGGAGACTTTTTACAAAGGAGGTATAAACTGAAAAAGCCAATCAAAAGTGTTGAAAAAAATGCCTCACCTTTAAGTTGCCGTATGTGATTATATATATTATATAATACATATGATATTTTATATATAAGTAATATATATATACACATATATATATGTGTGTGTGTGTGTGTGTGTGTGTGTGTGTATTTATCTATTAATTTATTTTAGGGCACTAGAGAATGTCCCCTAGCCTATTTCAGAAGCATGTACCTACTCACATGAAAGTTACCATCTCAGATTAGAATATGAGCTAGCTCTGTGAAAGTTCCCATGTGAAGCCACCTTTACATGTGCACCAGCTTAATCCCTAATCAGCATTCAGAAGGCTAGAAGCCAGTCAGTGGAAGCAAGGAGAGCCAATCATCTCTATTCTGTGCCTTTCAATCAGAATACCCACATATTCAGCACTTTGATTTGATAGCAAACATCCAGGAGTGAATTAATTGTATACACAGTTACTTCTGTAACATTGTCTGGAAGAAAACAGTGGAAAGTTTTTCTTAGGAAAGCTCTTTCAATTACTTGGCAAAGTGTCAGCTCCTAAGGCTGCAGATTATGTTCAGATAATTGACTTTTCAGAATTTAGGAAAGCAAGAAATGGGCAGAGCCTGGAATTGAACTAAAATTTGGAGCTCTGTGAAACACAAATGGGATTGCTGTGGGGCTTCTGCTTATCCAGTACATCTTTCTCTTCAAAAAAAAAAAAAAAAAGGAATGTTTTTGATGTTGTGATTGGTTTTTCTGCTTTGGGAAAATGTCAGCTTTTGATATTCCTAGGGCAAGGATTGTCTGTTTTCTCAACACGTACTGAGTTTTCATTCATCCTTTTATAGGTGGCCCTAATTATTGTTATTTGGTAGTTGGTAAACAGAGACTGAGACGAACCAGATGAAGACTAAAGTATGTTGGCAGATTTGGGGTAGGAAGTGGACTCTGAGGCATTATGTGATCAAAAAACATCTTTTCTCATTGCGGAGTATGTATTCATGAGACTTCTACTAGGTTCCAGGCATTGTCCTGGATGCTGGGGATTCAAAGGTGAATATGATACCGTCCACCCTTTTCCTTGAACAGTTCAAAGACATGCAAGTGAAGAAGTCCTCACTGTGG